CGTTTGTTAGGTCGGTATAGCTATAATACAACATAATTTAGAAGTGTTTTATACGTAACTATTTTATTTTATGATTGCATAAAGATATAAAGTGCAAAAGCATTTTTGTCTTTATAAATGATGAGACGATGATAGAAAAGCAATTCTATGTACTAAAAATCGCATAAAAATCGGCAATTAATCGTGAAAAATCATATGATTAATCGTGCGCTTAATCGCGATTAATTGCCGATTTTTTGGTGATTTTTAGGCGATTTTAGCGATTAATCGCAATTAATTGACGATTTTTTTCTAGATACTAGGTTCAAACCCATCTTAGGAAATACATATTTTTTTCTGTTTTTTCATTGCTTACTACGTATAATGACATGCGCGTCACACAGCAATGGTCTTAGCACCAGCTGGCATCGGAGTCTTGCCGACGAGTCAGCTTTAAACATTGCCCATATGTCAGCTGTTCAGTGGGCTTCTCGGTTTAAAGCTCTGAGGAACAATAGAGAAGACTCTTGACAACTTCGTTGTATTCTAAAATAAAAAGATGATCTGAATATAAGTGTATTTTTCGCTGAAATCGTTTTTCTTATATACAAACTTTATTGCAAAAGAAAGCGGTGAATAACAACAACCATTTAATTACTTAAAATCAACAATTAATCGCAATTAATTGATGATTTTCGTGATTAATCGCGATAGTTGACAAAGTCATCGATTAATCGCGATGCACGAAAAAATTATCATTTAATCGCGATTAAATGACCATTTTTTCCCGAATCACGATTGAGCGTCGATTTTTTCAACTATCGCGATTAATCGACAAAAATGAAGCGATTTTCAGCACATGGAATGTTTCTATATTCTAGAATGTATCAGCATTTTAAACTAAATTTTATTGTTCTAGCCTTTTCCAGGATCTGAACTATTTTATAAGGCCATTTTTTGTAGTAAAACTCATCATCATTGAAAATTCGAAGAGTATTGCCGACACCTGGTTTACCATTATAAAAAACTCCGAAAATTGTAACTGGATGCCTTCTTACAGTTAAGATCCTGAATAGAGTCCCGTGGGACGAACTTTTCTGTTGCCCCGAGCCCGAACGTAAAAGTTTTTGTCCCATCCCGCAAGCCCGACCCCGTCAGTAAATAATGTTGTTTCGTGAAAAAAAATTACGGGCTTTTTTGTCCCGTCCCGTTTGTCCGTTAATTTTTTGAAAAAATTTTTCTGTTCTGATATACCGTAACTGGTGCAAGAGACACTTAAAGTCTCAAACTTATTTTTGCAAAAAATCCGCATGACAAAATTTAAGTTATTTGATTCTAAACTTAAAAGTTTCGCCATAAAAAAATGTTTTGCATCCACTCGCTACCTCAGAATCGAAACGAAAGAACTGTAAACCTAGTTTTAGATATGAAACATCTTCTCAAGTTTAAATCCAGACTATTTTGTCTCTCCAGGTTAATTTTTATTAGTTATTATAAAGTTACGATTTTTACTTGATAGTTTTATGTTAATTGCAGCTAATTTTAGAATTCTATTCTACAAAACTTGATATTTCGATCATTCACGGTCATTGTCAAAAGTGAAAATGTACACAAAAAATTTGATTTTACATTTTAGAATTCCTCACATGTTCAAGAACAGGTAAACTTCTCCCTGCAATGAAAAGTTAAATGATGATGAGCTTGATGAGTTACTCGCCACCCAAATATCGATAAAAGATAATCCAAAACAAACGGTACTGGCAAAGTCGGCCACTGGTAGACATTACCAAGCGACTGGACATTTGATTACACCAAATGACTTTGAAATCCTCACTAATGAATAACACAAATACAAATTGTTAATAAAAGAATCACTCTTGATACAATCACTAAATGGTACAGATCGTTCAGTACCGGTATTTATCTTGTGTGTGCATTTTCACTTTTCACAATGATCGTGAATGGTCGAAATATCAAGTTTTGTAGAATAAAATTCTAAAATTAGCTGCAATTAACATGAAACTATTTCAGAAATCGTCGCCTACTGATATTAAATTTGTATTGACTTGATAGTAGTACAAGAATTAAACATTGAAGTTGCAGTATAATTACAACCAAAAGACAAAACTTACGGAACAACATTTTTTGCAACTTGTCCCGACCCCGTAGGTCGAGTCCGTGAAATTTTTTCTTGCCCCAGGTCCAAGCCCGTAAATTTTTTTTTGTCCCAACCTCGTCTGTCCCACGGGATGAGACAGACGGGATGGGATTCAGGGCTACCCCGCAGGAGTATAATTCTGAACGACCTTGCAACATTCTACAAGAGCTGACTACCGGGTCCTACAAGATTCTTATAAGATCCTACTTTAGGATCCTATAGGATCCTACGAAAATCTTGTAGGATTTTGCAGGATCCTACGGTAGAATTGTTTGATCTGAAAGATTTGTTAAAAAAACTCATCGTGACAGCTGATCGTTTAAGCTGGACCATTCGTTATCAACCGATCTGAATATACTCCATCGAAAAACGAGAACGATTTAAACAGAAAGAAAAATAACTGAGTGTCCCCATCAGATTGTAGTACGCCTAAACATACGATCAGGTGCGTTAAAGAGCTCGACATTGATAGACATTCAAAAACTTTCAAGCAAAATCTATATTCGATCAAGTCTTGCGATCTATATCGCTTTTCACCTGTATTGATATGCGTAGATAGTGAACTCTAAGATCTCTGATCTTGGCTGGCTCACAAGATAAACCAATGAAAAGATTAATCAAACCACAGCTGACTCACTATTTCATTTGTTAAACGCAAAAACAAAGCCATAGCACATGCACTCTCCTATGAATAGTTTGTGTAGGCATTAACCTGTCTTCAGAGGAACGAAGAAAACTAAACACCTCAACTGAAAGTCTCACATGCTGGGGAGCAGTGTTTCTAACGAGAATTTTAAGCAAAGTGGTTCGTTTACCACTGGATTTCCCATGCTTCTCTGCTAAAAGGAGAGTGCGACTTTTTTGCACTTATGTATTACGCTGCTATTGATGGAATCCCCTCGTCCTTTCTTTCGACCTGTACTAACATTCTTTCACCTCATCTTCAGTTTGTCTATAATTTGTGTCTTCTGGCAATTTAACTGCGTTATGGAAAATTGCATTTGTTATTCCTATTCACAGAAAAGGTACTCTTGAGTAAGACTAAGACTAAGATCCTGAACATTCTACCCTTGATACGTTGTTGTTTCTCTCTCATAGTATCTCTAATTTCTGGAATGCTGGTGTGAAATGTGTTTTGTGTGTCCTCTGATTTTTCTGACGCTTTCGATTTTGTATGTCATTCTTTTTTGTTGGAAAAATTCTCTCATTGTGGTATAACTAGTTGTTTACTTTCACTTTTGTCTTCTTATGTTTCTAACCGTTGTTAGTGTGTGCATGTGAATGATTCTATCTCTTCTCCTGTTTCTTCTGACGTTCCTCAAGGCAGTGTGCTTGGACCACTTCTGTTTCTTAGTTTTACAAATGCCCTTCCTACAGCGGGCATTCTCCCATAGAGCAGACGGACATCTAGGTTTTTGGAGTTAAAAAATGATTATTTTCGCATAATATGGTGTTATTATGTGTCAGATATTAATAGAAGTAAGAAAAGCGAACTCGAAAAAACATTTTGTTGACGATAAATCCTTGAGGTCTATCATTGCCCTGAATTTTTGTCGACAAAAGTTTTATTTATAAAATTCACAAATCATATGTCATTCGATGCAGTTTATCATGCTGATTCCAAATATTACATTAGTTTTCAATAAAAGGTCGATGATATGCAGAGTATTTTTTCCGAAATTGGCAACTTGAAACAAAAATTTTTACGCCATCATATAGCCCGTAGATCAAAGTATATTTGACACTTTTGTTTGTTTATGATGAATTGTATCCAAATAATGTTCTCTTTCTGTTGTTTCGTCTGTCCGCTGTTTTGGCGTTCTTGTTTCGCACGACCTATGATGGAATGATCATGCTAGGAACATTGCTCTTGCTTGTCGGCGCAAGCTGGGAGCACTGAGTCGTACCTTTGGATTAGCTTCACCGAAAGTTCGGCATCGAATCTTTTTTCCTAAGCTTGATTATTGTTGTGCTGTACATAGTTCGTTTTCTTCTTCTGCTCTTGACTCTGTGAATAAATTTGCTGCTTGTGTTATGCCTCGCAATTTTAACTATTGTTCTTCTAGCTCTGTCTTTATGTCACAACTTTGTCTTACAAATTTCTCTTCGTCGGAAGTATTTTAGACTTGTTTAGTTTTTTATAATTTAAAATCGTATGAGTCCTCTTTCTGTTTTTTATCCAGTATATTCACCGTACTATTATTCTTAAGAAGAATAGTTCACATTTGGAATGGTGAAGATGTAAATTACATCTTCATTCCAAATGTGTCCGTATACCACTTCTTGTTAATGGTTTCTTCTCTCAAACAATTTTCTTTGAAAGCGATTGAGAAACTTTCTTTCACTCTCTTATTACTGACTGGAACAAACTTCCAGAATCAGTAGTTTATTCTACTTCATATTAGTATATCCAAAAGTGCCCTATTCAACATGTGGTGCGTCTTTCCACCTTAAGACTAACGAGGGAACCTTTCGAAGTGGTTAAACGCTTTTTACTCGGAATCTAGTGCGTTATAGGTTATCGACCATGCTGATTACGAATATGATCATGGGGGTTGCCCTTGACCCTTCGAGGATCTGGTTGTTCTAGAAAACCAGTTTTTCAGAAACTCTAGAAAATAACCAAAACCTTTCTTAATAAGACATGATTGTAGCTCGCATATTTCTGATTGAAATGAGACATCTTCCAGCTTTATACGATCTTTCTTTGCAAAGTGGAAATACGCATCACATGTTGAATAGAGTGAGAAATCAGAACACTTATGCATTTATTACCATCTTAGTAAAATAGTTTCTTTGCTCGAGTTTTCAAGGGCCTCTCTCACATTTTGTCTGATATTTTTTCTTTTAGATGGAGCCAACAATGACGGATATAGCCATTAGAAAATGTTTACATGGTCTTGGAGAAAAAACTGTCACCGAACGAAAAGTGCGAAAAGAATTATCTTTGCTCTTTATTAACTTATGAACCTGTGTTCGCTTACATTTAGCGGCAAACTGAAGCATTAATTGATCTTTTATGTGACAATCAAACTCAAATTCTTATCGATAATAATACAAAAGAAGCAGAAACAAAATTAATTACTTGGGATGATTTACTCCGAGTATGTATTGTGCAAATGTTCGCTTTTCGAGTATTATAGTAGTTAAATAGTGTGAGTAGAAGTCTCTAGTAGGAAATGGAATAATGTTACTGAGTTTTAGCTTATCCACATTTATCTTTCTGTTAGATGACACATCGCTATGCTCGATATAACAAGATCTTTTCGCTATTAATGGATTATGAGAGAAGAAGCTTCACTTTTAAACGGTTAAGTCTATGCTAGCAATCTTTTTTTAGGAAATTCGTGCCCATACCATAAAAGAGTTAGTTACTGCTAAATCAAAATCGACATCTGGATTGAACGCAACACAGTCAACAACCGCTATGGCTCGTGCAGCTTCTTCTTCTGATATAAAATTTATTGAAGCAATGAAATTATTCAAAGCATTTCTCGTCTATGCCAATGGACGTGAGTCTAATGTTACTTTCATTCTCATTTATTTTGTTTTCATTATACTTTGTTTCATTTAGGTGGTCCACAATTAAATTCCCGTGATTTAATAGATTGTTTTCTTGGTATTTTAACAAGTGATTCGTGGTTATCATGTGATATTGTGTTGAAAGAATTGAGTAGAATATTTATCAATGATGTATTATCGATGCACAAATATTGTTGTGATGTCAAAGAACAAGAATGGATTGGTAAATGAAATATTCTCTATTTCAGCTATGAAATTTTTTTGAAAATGAAGCATAAAATAGAATCTCGTATAGTACGTTAACATTTTATGACAAAATCATCTAACAAAGTTTTCAAAAAACTCTCATACTATCGGTATAATGATTGAAGAATTTAAAAAATAATCTAGTAATATTTCTGTAGACTGTACTTATTGCTTTTATTTGTTTAGATTTATGTGAATTGTACATGTCATTGTATAAAAGTGTAGATAATAATTCTTCTTCTTCTTTGAAAACCTCATCATTCGAATTAGATCGTTCATTGTATAGTACCTATTTACGAACAATTGTGGAAAAATGTGTCATTTATTCCGATATAGAATTATCGACAACAAATATTCGAGAAGATTTTATCGAATTTCTTCAATTAGAAATTGAAAGAATGAGGTAGAAAATCATTTTCTAGTTTAGATTATCAGTCTCTGATTTATGTTGTTATGTTTTTTAGACATTCGACTCATTTTTCGGTTCTTGAAAATTTATTATCAATGTTAAATGTGTGGTGTCATAAATTTGTCTATGACTTACCTTTACTAATATTAAAAGTAGGAGAAACATTATTCCCAACAATTTTAGCAATATGGAGAAAGAAATGCAATGAAAATTCAAAAGTAAATGCAAATCACGACTATAGTATATCCTTGAATCTGTTTTAGATATATTGTAACATTTTTTCAGAGTCAAATTGATTAATTTTATTGTTATCTTTATTTAGAATGAAATAATAAAATTTTGTCGTTTACAAATGACACTTCATCATCCATATCAAGCAGACATATTTGATGATGATTATAAGTTAAATTTATGGATGGTAAGAAGATTGTGTACATTTTTACGGCGAGTTTATCCTCATTGTTTAGAAACATCTACAAGACATATCAGATATATTATTAAAAGAAATTGATGAAATATGTCAAAAACAACAATTAACAAGTCGACAACAGTAGGAATATGATTTCATTCTTCAGTGGTTACATATGTTAAGAATTTAGATAGAAAACAAAAACAAATAGATTTTGAAGAATCTGTTTGATATGCAATTCGAATTTGCTAAATATTTATTTACCTAGTAAATTGTGAGAAAAATGTTTGAGAAAAGACAAGAAACTTATGATAATATTTGTCATAGAGTCTACATTGTATAAACTGAAATTCATCATAGTATTGATCTAATTTAGAATAATTATCTAATGCTACATAATTGAGAGAACAATAGTTAGAAAATCGAATTAAAAGAGATCTTTTTATTGAAGTGTTGTTCTTTTACGTTGTCTATGACAATATTAAAGTCTTTTGTTTCTGATTTTTGTCTGATACTTTATCAAATGGATGATATTCAACTGTCTGATGTTATAGTGTTTCCATTTTAGTCAAAACAATTTTGAAATTCGCTCAGATTTATTACATTTGTCCAGTAGCGTTTTCTATCAGGTAAATAAAATCATATCAATGATTTTTCATAATTATATATTCTAGAAAATTTTAGATTCCATATGAAATTGTCGAAGAGAATAACGAAGATATAATTGAGCCAAGTGCAAAACGTACACGTTATGAATATTCAACATCGGCCACATCTGTGAACACTACTCAGAGTAGCATCATTGAGAATGGAACACAATTAAAATGTTTTAGACGTTTATTTCAATCAACTGATTTTTATCATCAAGCAGCTGGGTAAATTTATTTTTTTTTGAGTTAAATAGAGTACAAAATTTAATAACATATATTTTTTTTTCTAATTTTAGTTTTCAAATTTTAGCATTACAAATAGAACGTTCAATGATTATTTCAGAAAACGATTGTACATATTATTTGACGGTTATCAAACGATTTTTAACCGAAGAAAGACGGTTAGTATAGGCAAAATTATTTCGTTACTAAATGATATTTTAGAGATGAAAGAAATAATGATTTTGATCATATCTTATTTTTTACTTCTAGACCATGTTTATTAATGAATCTATTACGTTGTTTATTGTTGATGCTCAATCATAAATTAGTAAAAAAGATTGATAATTTATTACCTTTAATCTATCCATTATTACGTCAATCAACTTGTGAATCAATTGTATTACAAATTTTATTTCAATCATCAAGTTTAATATCCCATGATATTGACTTGTTGGATATTTCAATAAATTCTTTGATATCATTACAATATATACTATGCCGTTTGATTAAAGATGGTAACCACAATTTAACTACTAATAAAAAATTACATTTATTAACAAAATTAATGTTTGATATGGAAGCAGTTTATTTAGGTACGAATATTATATTAGTTAAAATATGTGACAAAAATTAATGAATCATTCGTCACTTTATCTCACATATTCTTTTGGGCCTCGTATTACAAAGACTTAAGTGATGATTTAAGTTTAGGACTGACTTCAGTTCGGGGACTTAAACCATATTACAAAAAGACTTAAGTTGGTAATTTTGTTTACTTTTTGAAAAGTCGTTGACAACAGTGACAAACTTGGGACAAAGACCCGCAAAATAACGAAATATTTATTCTCTAAACCTTAAGAAAATCGTTTTCGTCGAATCGTATCGTTAAATGTCTAAGCTATTCGAAAAATGTATCAATGACTTAAGTCTGACTTAAGTTTTCGGTCTTAACTTTAAGACTACATTTCCCATGACTTAAGTTACCCTTTGACTTAAATTTTTTTGTAATAAAATTTGAATCTAAGTTGAGGACTTAATTGTAATCTAAGCCTCGATTTAGAGTTAAGCCTGACTTAAAACTTTTCGTAATACAGATCCCTGTATTATTTAGATTCTGAATGTGATCAAGTTTTAACTAATACAATTGAACCTACTTGTGAATATACTCAAATTTATAGTCAAATTTTATTACAATTATGTTCAATTGATTTATTGCCCATGGATCAATCTACTTGTTGTCAACAGGCATCCGTCATTTCTGATAAACTTGAATATGAATGGTCTAAAAGAAAATATCTTAAATCATTCGATGATAAATCTTTACAATCGACTATGAAATTTAAATTTTTATCCAATTCTAATCAATTTGTGCTCGATTCTAATATATTTAATGAATTTAATTTAAAATATGAAAAAAATGTTAAATTTATTATTAATTTAAAAGATAAACATCCGGTATGGTTTCAAACATCATTCAAGTATATATTATCTCGTTTTATCTTTCATTTTATTTAGGGTGTACATTATCGTCTATTAATTCATTTAGCATTTACTGGTGTTCATATCTTAAATATGATTCAATCTTATTTTGTCATCGATACATGGAATAATAAAGAGTCCAATATTTACAAATCATTAGAACAAATTACAGATAATATACATGTACATAAAAGATAGCAGAAGCCTTTTAATCTCATTGTATAACTTGAAAATTTTCATTTTAGCTATTATTTGATGAATTACCAAATGAAACACAGCTCATATTAAATAAGAAACAATTTTTACCTGATTATCGTCAGTCATTTTTACATTATCTTCACAGTCAAATTTTGACTGTAACATCTCTTCTCCCATTGTCATCGTCACTATTAATTCCCTGTTTAACAACATTCAACATACCTCATCTTATTTACATATTTTTATCACCTAAAATGTTTGTTAATATCTATGATTATTTAATAAATTATTCATTAGAATCAGCGGATTTAGCATTAATTCCAGGTGTAAAATGTCCATTAAAAAATGATGATTTAGAAGCACATTCAAAATCTTATTTATTAGCCGAAGAAATTTTGTTGTCTAATGGTAAATATCAAAGACACACAGTGTGCATTTTTTCACAGGACAAGCGGACATTTGCTACAGAAGTAGTCCGACAGTCTATAAACACATTTTTTATAGCTTTTCAGATATGCTCTTTCCAGTGGTGTGCTTTACAAAGTTCAAAGAGGCTTTCATCTGGGTTCTCCAGAGATCGGGTCTCTACAAAAACCATACATAAGTATTCTGAAACTTTGTAAAGCACATCATTGGAAAGAGTATATCTGAAAAACTATAAAAAAAAGTGTCTATAGACTTTCGTACTACTTCTATAGCAAATATCCAAATCCTTAGCCAAAATTGTCACGCTATGCATCGACTCTAGCGTTTCATTAGATCCAACAAGTTTTTGCTCAGAAAAACCCACTAATCATACATCATTGGATGCAGTTTCATGCCCTGATTCCAAATATATCATTTTTATTGAATAAAAACGCTTCTGGACCGGGAAAAATGGAAAATAACTTAAAAATCATGGTTTTTTGGAAAATCTAGAGCTCAGTGCGAGAATATTTGAGCTGGTTTGGGCTAATGTTATAGGTGTATGATAGGTTGTAGAACATTCTCTGAAAGTTTTATCGAATTTGGAGCGGTGGAAAAATCCGGAAACCTACTGTCCATGGAAAACATTCACTGCAGAAAGAAAACTTGTTTTTCTTAGACTAGATTGATCAATACAAAAAGTTATTTTCACTAATATATAGCAAAAGATGTGCAGATTCAGAATATACAATGTTTTTACTTACCAGTATATTCAGTTTCGTATAAAGGTCATTTTCCAATATTGGTGTTTATACGCTAGTTTTTCATCTGCTATTTTTACACTCAAATTACAATTTGTAACAAAATTTCTAATGACATCAGATAGAATATGTCCTGAAGTATATTGACAATTGTTTGAATCAATGAAAAATCGACTTTCATTTTTTTTACCTAATGTCCGGTTGGATGCATACTGTGAGACATGGACCAGGATTTATTTTTGTTTTTTCTTTTCTCCTTTATTTTGATTCTTTTTAGGACTTCAAGGTATCTATGATTTATTATTATTAAATGAACAACATGATCGTTCTAGCCTTTTTCATCATTTTATTATTTCAAAATATTCTCAGTTAACCTATGAAACAACAGTAAGATTTTTTATGAAATTAATCGATGACAAATTAGTTGAACATATTGAAAATATAATTACAGATGCTTTAGATCCATTTGTATTTCGGCAAATATTTCTATTTTTACAATATTTCTGTTCATGTTCGATGATAAGAATATTATGGCGTCAAAGTGATTTTGATTTTATTTTGGATTCATTTCATCATCTATTTAAATTGTATCGAAAAGATGTGTGTACCTGTCAAATATTATTAGAATTATTTGAACAATTTTTAATGAATTTTGTATTTTTATCCAAAGATAAATTAAATAAAAGTGAAAGTGTAATTAAAATTAAAAAATTTATTGATGCATTTTGGCAAATAGCTACAATAAAAACGGCAAGTGAAATATCAACATTAAATTCGGCATCAAGACAAATTGTCATTAGATTAAAACAAATACTTATCGAAATTTATAATGATACAACCGATGAGGAGACAACAACAGTAACAAGGTAAGTAAATCTTTCTTGTCACATCGATTACAACTGTTTGTTTTTTGTGTAACTCCTTCCCTGAATTCCTCGGAAAGAGGAAGAACAAGAAGTGAAAGTTTGTACAGGGAGAAATTGCTGAAAATCTGAAAATTTTACTCAGCCACATATCCCGTCTCCTTTAACGCTCGCGGATGTACACAACAGAGACTGCAACAGATCAATCAAACGTGACCCGAGCTCGACTCGACCCGAACCTACCCAAATCAATACCTTATACGTTGGTGCGAACCCGACCCGAACGGATCCGAAAATTTTGCAACTGTGATCCGAACTTGTGTGTGATCCGAAACATCAAAATGTTTTCGTACACATTCGTAAAGAAACACTTCTTTCCTGTAGAAAAGTTATCTTAGTCAGATTGTTTTGAAATATTTTCAAAAAAATGGTCAGATTCCTTACTGTTTCCGTCATCTTTTTCTTTTATGAGTGGAGAAGTTTGGGTAATTCAGGCAGTTTATTTTATATTGACCTGAGTTAGATCGAAAAGGGTCAAACAAACGCAACCCAACCCGAGCTGAATCAATATTTTTTACCTCGACCCGAACCCGACCCGATCCCCTTTTGGTCTCTGGTACACAACCCATGGACAATAGTGAATATACATTGTATACACGGACAAATTAACGGGGAATCTTAATAAAATTAAAACAAATTAATGTAAACGGACACACTCGGGACATAGGTTTCATTCAGCCCCACCTTAGTCCATCACGTTTGAATGGAAGAGTTACATTTTAGATCCAAGATCTGCGTTGATAAGCTTTTTTATTTTGTTTAGTCGTATTAATAATGATTTTACAACGTTAACATGTTTATTATCAGATAAATCGTATTTGGTTCGTTTGACTGCTTCACAATTATGTTTAGATTTATTTTATGAAAAATATACATTTTCTCAAAATGATATCGAATGTGAATTAATGGATGTTGATAATAATGATGACAATAATACACTATTTTTATATAAATTAATTGGTCCATATGATATTAAACAATTTGATTTTGATAAAAGTCAACAATCACATAATTTACAATTTACAATTGAATTTAATCGTTATTTATGGAAATATCGTACAATTTATCGAAAATTAGTAACATCTGTTCAACAAGAACAAATTTATGAACGTTTAATATTAAATAAAGATTCAATAATATTAATTTGTCTTCTATCTAAAACGAGTAAATATTTAGAAAGACGATGTATGTTTAAATTATGTGAACTTATTTATGATAAACAATTGACAATAAAAGAGTGTCAACGAATATGTGAACATTTGTTAAGTAAGAAAAAAAACAAAAAAACACTATTAATTAGTTTTAGAGTTCTTCACATCTTTATGTTTTCTATTTTTTAAGAACATGGAATTGATGAACATATGGAATATATTATTCAAACGTGGCTTGACTCTGGCTATAATTTAAAACTATTTCCATATGAATTACTAAAATTTAAAACATTTGGTGATTATTTTAAACAATATACTCATCTAATATTTCCATGTTATTTTCTTTCAAATTCGTATGAATTTCTTGTAAATACCATTACATTTGATCAAAAATTATATATTCAAAAATATTTACCAAATTTACTTGCACATATTTTACCGTTAATGGCCGCAGGAAAAACGAATCAAACTGAAGATCGAATACAAGCTGAAAAATATCAACAGTTAATTGAACAACTATTGACAAAAACAGTTTATTATCAACTTGTTAAACAAAAATTAACTCAGATTGTTCAACAATTATTAATGACATATTGGAATGATGATAATGATCAATTGTTACCGGAACCAATTCGACCAGCGTATACAAAAGAAGCAATTTTAAAAACATTTGAATATATTAAAATAACATTTTTTGCAAGTGGAACACAACAAAATACTGTCAAAGCAATGTCATTTATCAGTCTATTAACAAAGACAGCTGTGAGTGTTTGTTAACTCTTTTCCTAATGTGTTGTTATAATTAGACATCGATACAAATTTCATGACTGCGAGATAGTACATGAATTTGAACGGGATATTTGTGTTGAAAGTCTCTGATGGTTTCCTCTGCGGCAGCGAGTAGTATTTGTTTATTAGTGCGTTGAATCTTCCTAAAATTTATTAAAAGTAAGTGGGATTTTTTCTCGCTTCTTTATTACTTTTTTCATGTCATCAAACATCACGCCAATTCTTTTCGTTCACAATGTAATATCCTATCAACAAAAAAAATTCAAATTAAGAAAAAATGTTCCTCATTTTTAAGAAAAAAATGGCATACTCTGTACTACAAACCATCAAAGAAAGAAAATAACTCATTCTTTCTAAAAACCTTTTTCTCTGCCTTCACTAGCGACAGTGAATCTGATCGACCGTACATCTCTCGTTATAACCACGTTAATCTAATATTTTACATTCAAGTTTTTTCTTTTACGGTTTTTAGGATATAAATGAAATATTATTGTATTTATCATCATATTTACTTAAAACAAATTCAATTCATGAACAATATCGTTTATTATTGATTCTAGAATTATTTTTAAATGAATTACTATTGAATTTACATGATTTACAATTGTTATCTACAAGTGTACTAAGAGATTGTACATATTTACTATTAAGATATTTGAATGTAACAAAAAATCAATCTATTCAACAATATCCACTATGGTATTGTGAATTAAAGATAAAAATTTTTGATTTATTATCAGCAATGTTAAAACAACTCGTTATAATGGGTCTTGAATATAATAGCGATAATTATATGGGTAAAACGATTATTATTTTATATTTTTGTTTCAATTTGACTATTATTCAATGATATTTTTCATTTTAGATTATATTCCTGATTTAGTTTTAATATTAATTGATCATCCGTCGTTAACACGTTCACATATTCAACTTTTAATTGAACAAATCTATGATTTTATCAAATCAAAACGTACAAGTATACCATTGATGAATTGTCTTTGTTTTCTTATTGAACGAGAAAATTATCGAAAATATTGTCCAAATATTCGTATAAATTTAGTAGATTTTCTTGATTTAATCAACAAAACAACACCTGTTAAATGGTTACTAACATTATTTTTACAAGAAATTAATGATGCCTATGTAAAAGGAAATGAACAATCAATTAATACACAATCATTGAACACAATTGAAAATGTAAAATGTAAATTAATTAAATGTATATCAGGTAAAATGATAAATGACTCTGTCTTCGAGTGAATAAGTCGTTCGTTTTAGGAAATGATCGACAATTATCAACTCTGGCTGGCAAATGTTTGGCAAAATTAAACTGTTTTTCCTCATCAAAATCGTGTTATGATATTGATGATCAAGATGACGATAGTTTTAATACTATACCTCTTTGGATATTAAATGATTTAACTTCATCTTATTTGATTGATCCAAATCAGTTTGTTGTTGAATGTTCAAATCGTACAGCGAGAAACTTATTATTAATCGATGTTGGTCAAGAATTGTTAAAAGCACATAAAGAAAATTCAAATGTTGTCCATTATTTACAACCATTTATCAGTCAGAAAAAAGGAGTAGTCACATCAGCACTGTCTGAAATATCAACAATCGATTACGATAATTTAGGTAAATAAGATGAACAGATCGTCCAGAATGATGGGTAGTTTTGTTATTTGTTTATATCTCTATCAGAGTTCATCTCTTCTGGTTTTAACGATTCTTGATTCGGTCGGTGATGTCTTCTTCAATGATGAAGACGTCATCGACGTCAAAACGTAATAAATAAAAATAAAGTTATTGTCAAAAACACGAAGAGTAACTCAGTATATTAAATATCCTCCAAGGCTCTCGTTTTTTTTAGCGTTGCGAAATTTCCTACAAAAACGTATTGAATGTTTTGTTACAAAATGTAAAAGTGAAACATTATACGAAAAATACTGAGAAGCTTTAAAACAGGCAACTCTCTAATCTAAACATCAGTTTAGTGTTATTTTATTATTTCTATGACTGTTAAGATGAGAAAAAAATCTAACTAACCATTTTTATTGGTTTTGAACAACTCTATCTTTTAATTAAAAAATTTCCCAACTTACCGAAAAACTCCAAAACTTTCTTTCTTCTAACATGTTAAATGAAAAGATCAAAATTGTGTTGTTTTCAGACGATTTGAATGAAGTTGCCCTTTTTGTCCTAACATTAGACTTAGAAGAACTTTGTTATACATGAGAAGAAAGAGCACACTTGACAATATCAGTAGATATTGTCTGATGCAACTACTTTCTACATCCTCATTTAATAATAAAATTTCAGTTAGCTGAGAAATAGTTGCCAGAAAGTTGCCTGTTTTAGAGCTCTTCAGTATTTCTTCGTATAATCTCCCACTTTCACACTTTTTACCAAGAATCAGTCAGTTATAGTCCTGCGGGTTTGAGATTTTTGAACGCGATCCCGATCTGATCTCATAGATTTGAAACTCGTCCCGAACCCGAACCCGCCGGAACTTTTTCGGGATCCCGATCCTGATTCTTCCAAATAAAACCCGTCCCGAACCCGAAATATTTTTTTTCTAGTGAAGTTTTCTAGTGAACTTTGTATTTAATTATAAGTGTTATTTTTGCTGTAGGTATTTTACCCGTTGTTCATATGGCATCAGCCGAATCTCAATGGTCCTTGTTTAATGGTTTAACTTCATTTAAACAATGGTTGAATTCAATTGTTGATTATTTGTTATTAGAATTAAAACATAATCAAGTTGAATCTGGTCACAAATATGCACAAGTGTTTATCCAACTAGGTCAATTATGTCGTTTAAAAATTCAGTTAACTAAAAAATTATTTCCATATCTTATTTATTCTCTTCTTTTACTACCAAAAAATACCAATTTACAACAAAATTTAAGTAAACATATTCAAACATTATGCGAACAATTGTTGAGTGTTGCATATAATAAACAACAACAACAACAACAAGAACAGAATGAAAATCAAATGTCAAAATCAGATTATTCACAAATAGCATCAGTTCTATTTCGGACGATTAATTTTTTAAGACAATGTCATCGAAATGCAACAGCAATTTCAACTTCAACATCAACAAGAAGTAGTAATTCATCTCATACAGATAATAGCAATGTAACAACAACGATATTAAATTTTGAAAATAATTTTTGGTTAGATTTGGATTATTTTCAAATGGCAAAATGTGCATTAGCTTATAATGTAAATAGATCAGCTCTGATCTATGTTGAATTATGGACAACAACACAAAGGTAAACTAGAACGATTTTGTTTATTAAGTTAATAAAATAAAAATTCATTTTGTTTTGTAGATCATCTTTAGATACGAATGATTGTAGTCGTCAATTATATTATTCTGATTTAGATTTAGTTCATAAAATAAATAATTCTCATCCCTATCGACATGATTTGATTCAAATGTGTGTTCAACTCTATTCAAATTTAAATGAATTCGATGGATTTTATGGTTTAGAAAAAAATCTTTCTTCACTTATGGAAAAACCAACTGGTTTACATGCAGTATTTGAACAAGTGAATAATCATTGGAATGAATCACTTTTTTTACAAGATCAAGCTGCTGCTAGCAACGCTAAATCATCACCATCAAAAATAATTCAATCACTTCGACTATGTGGTTTTAATCATTTACTTGAGCATTATCTTAACAATTTATCTACAACAATACCGACTGAATCAAAGCGAACACTTTATCGAATACAATTAACTTCTCTACTTTCAACAACAAAATGGGAAGAAACAAAAAATTTACACTCTTGGGTAAGGTACTAATGTCAATTTGTTTTTCTTAAAATTCTTACTGGCTAGTTTTTTAGCACTCAGAATCTCGACAATTAAATTCGTCCTCCATACATGATGACATATTATCACTAATGTATCGTCAAACCAAAGTTCCACAATTATCAACACCCATATTAAAATTAGATTTATGGTCTAAATTATTCGATCAATATTCAACATTAAAAGAGAAACAACAAAATTCTGACTGTGATTTAATTCGAGATTGTCGTTTAATTAATGTTATTGACGATTGTAAAGAATCAAAATTAGATTCATTGCCAAAATTATGGTTGACCTATGTTGATAATGATTTTGATCGAAATGATGAACTATTATTAACAAGGACAGCTGCGTTAGTAACACTAGTTCAAGAAAATAATGAAAATATATTAATGAAACGAACGTTATTGTCCAATTTAGTCTCATTGCTATGTCAAAATGCATTAGATTCTAAAAAATTACAGGCAAGATTCATCATCATGACGTATCGACTATCTATTATTTAGTTTTCTCTGTTTTAGTTATGTGAACGTTATATAAATGACTTTTCATCTTTATTTGGTGCTGAAGGTGATCATTCAATTCTCTATTTACGTGGTAAAGTGTTGTGTTTACGAAAAATGGAAACATCTGGTGAATATTTGAGACAATTAATTCAACATCTATCGTTATCTGTTAATTCTTCATCTATCAATATTCTACGTGTTAAATGTCAACTATTACTATGTGATTGGTTATTAGAAACACGTTCTGATACGCCTCTATCAATTCGTTTACAATTAGAACAAATTATAACCGATGTTGAAAAACAACAGGGTTCATCTGCTGAATATGCACAAGTCAATTTTCAATCGTATCTAGCAATGGCTCGTTTTAGGTAAGTCATAGTAATATCTATTCTTTGTCTTTGTTAAAAATCATTTTTTATTTATTTCATTATCTCATTAAAGTGATCAAGAATATGAACGTATTGATTCATTAATTAAATCAGCCGCTTATGAAGGTAAACGAAATTTATTACATCAGAGTGAATTAGAATATGAAAAAGTAAATAAAATTGAACAAGGTGGAAAATATGCTCGTGTACTCCAACGAAATCTACAATTAGATAAAAAAGAATTAGAAACAATTGAACAACAACGTCAAGTATACTTAACATTATCACTTGAAAATTATCTTAAATGTTTAAAATTATTTTCAATACATCCATCATCATCGCCACTTAAAAAAGATAAACATAGACAAATAGCAACAACGTAAGTGTATTGTTTTAGTTTAGTGATTGTTTGAATATTTTTATTATTTTTTTTTATGTTTTAGTAATCAAACCAGTCAATCAGCAACAACAGCAGCAACAGTATTAACAAATTCTGCTCCAGAAATAATGATTGCATCAAAATGTTATTCATTATGGGTTAAAAATATCGATAAAGACGGTATAAATAGTAAAATGTCAGAATATTTACATGATATACCCACACATTTCTTCTTACCATTTGTTTATCAAATGGCAGCTCGAATGAATTTAACAGGTGTCAGTGAATCATCTAAAAAACACTCATTTTATTCAATATTATTCTCCTATTTATATCGTTGTGTTCAAGATCATCCACATCATGTTTTACCCGTTATATTTGCATTAGCAAATGCACATAAAGATGAAAATATTATTCAACAACAGCAACAAACTGGTAAAGGAAAACAATCTCATGTTGTTCAATTAAACGATGATTTATCATCGACTGATCAACGTTCAAAAGCTGCTCATTCATTAATTGAAAAATATTCAAAAACAAAACCTCATATGGTCGATCAAATGAGAAAATTAAATGATGCTTACATTGAATTAGCTAATTTTGATTTACAACCAGGACAAAAAGAAAAACAAAATGGAACAATTTATCCATTACCAAAAACATTAAGATTAATGCAAATACAAAATTATGAACATGTAGCTGTACCAACTGTTACAATACCGGTTTCTCTTGATTGTCATTATGATAAAATTCCCTATGTTGTTCGATTTGAACCGAAATGTCGATTTGTTGGTGGTGTTAATTTACCAAAACGTATTCAAGTACTCTCATCAACTGGCATATTACTCTCTCAATTAGTTAAAGGTCGAGATGATTTAAGACAAGATGCTGTTATGCAACAATTATTTACAGTATGTAATCGTCTATTAGCTAAAGATGATTTAACACGTTCAAAACAATTACAAATTCGAACATACAAAGTAGTTCCATTAACACAAAAATCTGGCGTATTACAATGGTGTGAAGGAACAATAACATTGGGCGATTATCTATGTAATTTACATACACCTGGTGGTGCCCATCAACGTTATCATCCACATGATTGGCCAATAAGTGATTGTCGAAAAAAATTACAAAAAGTTCAAAATTTAACGTATGAAGAACGTGCAAAAGTATTTATGGAAATATGTCAACATATTAAACCAGTATTTCGCTATTTTTTCTTTGAATATTATCCAAATGCAACTATTTGGTATAATAGAAAAATGGCTTATGCAAAAAGTGTGGCTACATCATCAATTGGTAAATATTTTTATAAATTTTAATTACTTCTTTCATTTTATTTCTGTGTTTTGTTTTCTCCTTTAGTTGGATATATTGTGGGTCTTGGTGATAGACATGTACAAAATATTTTAATTGATACACAAATCGGTGAAGTAATTCATATCGATCTTGGTATGTTTGTTTCTATTAAATAAGAGTAATTGACTCAAAAATTTAAATAATTTTATAAATATATTTAGGTGTTGCTTTTGATCAAGGAAAAATATTACCTGTACCAGAAACTGTTCCATTTCGACTATCTAGAGATGTTATTGATGGACTGGGAATGTGTGGAACAGAAGGTTTATTTAAAAAGTAAATGTTTGAAATATTTTTTCATGTCTGTTGATAATCTTTATTTTTTTTTGACAATTGATCATAATTAATTATCATTCTTTAATTAAAGGAGTTGTGAATGCACATTGGAATTGATGCGTCAATATTCAGATACAATTTTAACAATAATTGAAGTATTTCTCTATGATCCATTGTATCAATGGCAAATTTCACCTCAGAAAGCTTTTCATTTACAACAACAACAACGTTCGACGGCAGATACTGATCAAACAATAAATTCAACGATGCAAACACCATCAAGAAATGGAAAAGGACATACGACTTATATAACTACGACAAATGTGAATACAATAGCTAAAACTGTCAATGAAGGAACAACTGGTACATAAAACTATACATCTAAAATTCAAAGATTTAATAGATCTAATTGAATTTATTTTAATCAATTTTAGATACAAATAAATTAGCTGAACGTCTTCTCATTGGTTTAAGACAAAAACTTCAAGGTTTTGAAGGTATTTTACAAATGACAATAAAAGCACATGTAAATATGCTAATTAATGAAGCGACAAGTGTCGAAAATTTATCAAGATTATTTGCTGGATGGCAGCCGTATTTGTAAAAAAATTGATAGTCATTATTTTTTTACATTTAATAACGACGTTTTATTTTGTATTAAAAAAAATATGTCTTAAAACAAATTTTCTATTTTTTGATTATTTTTATTAAAATAAAATTTCATTTGAATTTTGTAAGAAAACTCTTTTGTATATACAATTTTATTTGTATATCTGACTCATCTTCAATATTGACCGGATTGATCAAGTTAATTTGCTATTGCAATATAATTCTATCACGGATTTTATTTTTTTTGTAGTTTTTTAAATGAGAACATGTTCAGAGTTATGCAATTATTAACGAGAAAATGTGTCTTAACAGCCATTCCGCGTAACGTGTCTGTGCGTTACGTTTTGCTCGTTTTGTTGATCATTTGAATGAGAGACCGTGGAGCGAATGACATTGTAATGGCAGAACTACAAGATGAACCGATACTTATTGTAATCATAGGGATTGTACGTCTGACATTTTTTCTTATATGGTTTCTCGTCATTGGAATGGAAAATTCAATCTACAATATTTACTGTCCGTTCTAGCTTTTTCAAAAAATTCACTAATAATACCGACTACTTCGGTGGGTTTTTCCTCTTGTGGTAAATGTCCACACTGTTGAATCGATACATATTGAAGTATGGTTTCATCCAATTTATTTTCATTTAATATGAGTTGATAAAATTCCTTGACATCTTTCTTTGATACTAATTTATCATTTTCACCCATAATAAACAAGATTTTTCGTGGTATTTGAAGAAAATGATCGATTGATGTAGTCTCTGATGGTCCATTATATTCTATGAAAAAATCTAGTCCTATAAAAAATAATGGATCATCTTGTATTGGTCGTAAATATCCTTCTTTTACTGTTTCATCTTTACAATAATTTTCATCAAAATACGCATTTTTAAACGGAAGATAGTGTTTTAAACCGAATTTTAATAATAATTTAACTGGAAACGTTCCCACTAACCATTTTGAAATTGGATTCATTTTGTGAACATTATGTAGACCATAGGGTGAGATTAAAATAATTGAATAAACTAATTCTGGATTAGCCACAGCTATATCGTATGCTACGGTTGCACCAGATGAACTTGAAACAAGATGAAGTTTACTCGTTATATTTAGTAATCGAAATAGTTCGAGTGCAAGTAATTCTTCTCCTTTTCTTGTATACGGATTAATTTCATTTTTATCCCATTGCTCAATTCGTTGAGTCAATCCAAATGCTAGACGATCATAAGCAATTACTTGACATCCTGTTCTATTAGCTAATGGTTGTAATATTTTTTGCCACGTGAATGTACTACAGAGAAAACCATGAATTAAAACGATTGAATGATCATTATTTTGTACATTATCGATTGTGGGTAATACGCGTTTATAATAAACTTGAATATTATTAACAGAAATAAATTGTGAATCATTATCACTATTAGACATGCCGAAATTCTTTATAGGGATACGAAAGCACACAGTATGTAAGTAAAACGTGTGAGTACATGAGCAGGTAAGAAAGAACGATGATATAATGTCTTATTTTGTTTTCTATTGAAGAGAAAAGAAATATTTCTTTCTGTTATGTTTCTCTCTTTTAAATGGCACGATAACGTTTCTTTCTCACGAGGGAACATTCCCAAGTGAGGTACTCCGGTTTCGTTAAAATCTAGCAATTTATATGTAATCAAGAGCGCTGATTACGGATATGATAGCCGTTTGTGCCCATAGATCTTTCCTAGCATTTCTCTGGAGAACCGGTTTCCTAAAAATCTCCTGAAACCCTAGCAATGTTTTAACAACATGTTGGGATTGTAGCCTAAAAATTTTGCATCAAAATGAGACGATTCCCAGCTCTCCACCATCTTTCTTTGCAAAGTTACAGAATTTACAAGAGAAGTCCTAAATTAATTTTACTTTTTCTTTCTATATCCCTAAGCTGACAATGAACATTTAGGGCTTCTCTTGTAAATTCTGTAACTTTGCAAAGAAAGATGGTGGAGAGCTGGGAAGCGTCTCATTTTGATGCAAAATTTTTAGACTACAATCCCAACATGCTGTTAAAACAGTGCTAGGAGAATTTTTAGGAAACCGGTTCCCCAGAGAAATGCCAGGAAAGGTCTATGGGCACAAACGGCTATCATATTCATAATCAGCGCCCTTGATTACATATAAATTGCTAGGTTTTAACGAAATCGGAGTGCCTCACTTGGAAATGTTCCCTCGTGAGGAAAAAGATGATAATTGACATAAATTGATCGTATCAGAATAATGTTTCAATAAAGTATGACTCAATATCAATCACATGCGTTTAAATACAATAATCTGCGATTGATTTAATGATACGGTTCCTCTACTGTATTACTCTTAGAAGTTTTAAGCTTACTACAATTGAAATTTATTTTTATGTGCATTACCAAACTAACTAAAACTAGGCTGTTGAAATGTAATTTTTTGAATCTAATAACTTTTTTAGAAAAGGGTGATTCAATAGATATCAGTGTGATACAAGTCAAACTGACATTGAAAAATCTTCTTGAAAAATTGTATGTTTTCCAATGAATTTAAACTACTATCCGTTCCAAAAAAGAATGCGGATGGCTTTTTTCACTGACGGACTAACTAACCGGACCAAGCCGAAAAAAAGAAAAAGAAGAAAAAAGAAACTTTTTCTATTAGAATATCAAACTAGCCAACCGAGAAATTCAAGAAGAATTGACATCATGCCAGCAGAATTGAACATTTTCACAGCAGAATTGAACATTGGTGAGACAGAATTGCATGTTTGACCTCACATGGTTTGTAAAACATTTCGGATCCGTTTCGAAATGTTTTATTGGTTACTCACTCTCATGCTGCGCCTCTAACCCCACCTCTCCTTCTACTACGTATGTTATGAGGAGTGCTGAAGATTTAGAAATATGGGTCTATGTGGTTTCATGGGCTCACAGCAATATTCATTGATACGGCACAATAGGCCAATTGAATTCTGCTTAACGTGACTGGATTACATAAAACTATGAATTTTTCCAAATTCAATTCTGTCTCATCGTTGTTCAATTCTGCTGGATCTATATTCAGTTCTATTTCAATTCTGCCGATATGAGTTCAATTCTGCTAAACTTGAAACTATCTCTTGTTTACACACCGTTCTGCTTAAATGTCAACTGTGTCTGTTGTTCCCGAATCTGACGTTTATTTCAATTCTGCTGTGTGCTGCTTAGAATTCTGAATTATTCATACTAACTATTAAACGGAAAACAAATGCAAATAAATAAATATTCTCTTCATTAATTAAGTGACTTTTTCTCCATTTCTGTTAATCAAAAAATCCAGGCATATCAATAATTTTGATACATCCTACTCGATGACTATCATCAATTTCTTCTGTTGATGAATATAATCTTCTTTCGCGTGCCACGTACAATGGGCTTTGTACGACATTAGCTATTGTTATTTTAACAGTTGTTCAGCGTCTAATTAAAATAATTATTCTTGGATCACATGTAACAGTTGGATATTTATTATATTTCTAGTCTAATATTTTGATTTCATCCATTAGGCAAATCAAGCAAAAATATTTTCAGTAGTATGCTATAATCTATACAGAAAAGACCAAATATCTCTCGAGTAAACACTAATTTCTCCTTCTGTTTGACTCTCTCAAAAACCATTTTTACTGAAAATAAAACGAGATAGTTTAAACATCAAAATAAGTTTTATTGATTCTTATATGATTCTTATGTAATAATCCTTAGATTATATTTCTTCCACACAATCTTTTCGCTTCAATACATGTGTGCCATGTTTACTGGCTGCAACCATCGTCAGTTTTATTATTATTTAATTATGGTATTATTCCCACTCTCTGTTTATTGGAGCACGTCGATCTATAATCATATCTGTTAGAATTTTGCAAATTACGTCTCTATTTTCTTCATGCTCTTTCTGATCATGTCGTTGATCACTAAACACTGTCATTATCTCCACAAAGATTCAAAAAATGTAGTCAGTCTAAAATCGTCCATGTCTCATTTCAGATATTGCTGTCGTTTGGTTTGTTATCTCATTATATATTCTTATATTTGAAATAATTCAACTTGGTCAATGTAGGATGTTTATACAGTCTTGTATACAGTATTTATTCATTTCTGGTAGATGGTGTGCCATCGATACTATTAATGATTACATTTGGTGCATTGGCCATGAAAAGTTTGAAAATGGCTCATTCGAGAGTTCAATCGTTCAATCAACAAATAAATAAACGTGATTCTCGATTACTCTCGGTGTTAGCGGCTAAAAGACTGGTCTATTTTCAAACAACAATTCTTTATCCATTCAATACATTGTATCAAACGTTGATACAATCAGTTACTGACGAAAGTCAGACTCAAATGGCAATTGAAGATTTTTTTACCGATATGTCAGGGTCATCCTTGATCTACATTAACAGTTTATCAACATCTCCATTTATCTGGAACATCAAAGCCATTCAGAAAAGAAGTTATAAGATTATTCATAAAATGTTTCACTAAAATCATTTGTGCCACAACACATTGTCAAAGATGGCAACTGTTCACTCATAAATCTCAACTGTCTCTGTAAACCGTTCATGTAACTGCTGAAAATACAACAGCCTTACAAAGAAGAAAGAATTAATTTTCCAATGTTCGTAACTTTCTTGTTATTTCAACGTATCATTCATTGCAATGTTGATCTTTTCATAATACCCTTTACTCACCTAAAACTACTTCAACATAAACTGTTCTTTTTCCTCAGCAATCCGATTTAACCAAACTTAATAAATTCATTAGAGATGATTGCACTGCAGGCTGGCCGTCTTTACCATACGACAGCCACGGCTTTAGAACGTCTTTTTATAAGAAGAAAAGTTCAAAAACCGCCATCAGATCTCCTCAAGATAGGAGTTCAGCTAGACTCATCTTTCATCGTTTAGGTTAACTACCTACAGCAGGTACCATTAGGTTTTTAATGGAAACAAAACATTACCATGACGTAGCCTATGTTGCAGTGCATTTGAGGTTTAGAGACTTCATCTTACGTCAGTTCTCGAGTTTCTATGGAACACGGCGACTGGTCTAATTAGTGCGCATGAATATTCTATTATAATCCAATGTTTAACAAAAATATTTATTTCGTGCAACGATGTGCTTGCAACACGAAAACAAATAAGTAAAGTATGGCTATGTCACAAAACAATAACAAAGAAAATAGAAAATCTCATATCACTGACTCTTATTACTTTGAAAGACACTGTGTCTATTCACTGTTGATTTGTCGTGAGTGCTAATTGTGATTGCTTAACTAGTTTATGAAAATATGAGTTTAAATCAGAATTTAGAATTTTTGGACTATCAAATTCTTTAATTTTTCCCTGGTCCATGACAAGAACACGATCCGAATCCATTATTGTTTGAATGCGATGAGCAATTGTGAGCACTGTTACATTTTTACATGTGTCATGAATTGATTTTTGAATTAGAGAATCTGTTTCCATATCAACATTTGCGGTCGCCTCGTCCAAACACAATACCTAAAAATATGCCAGATTATCAATAATATTATTTAGATTATTATAACATTAGAAATAAGAAGTTTAGTGTAATTGCGGCTGAAATACCCTTAACTTTGTGTAACATAATTAAGGGTATTTCAATCACAATTGCATTAAACTTCTTATGCCAGATTACTCAAGTATTAGACAACCGCATGAACTCTAGAATTACTTTTGATTTCGACAAAAGAGCTCGTGCCAGACAAAATAATTGTTTTTGTCCCACACTCAGATTTCGACCTCGTTCAACAACCATATAATCAAGACCTTGTGCTAGAATATGAGATGAGTGACGTTAATCAAAATGATATATCATATTCTAGATGATTGACTATACCTAAATTTCTAACTAGTTCATATAAATGACATTTATTTAATATTTCCCAAATCTCTTCATCCGAGTAACGTTTGTACGGATCAAGATTATCTCGAATTGTACCACTGAATAAAAATGGATCTTGAGGAATAATTGCCAATTTTGTACTAAAATAAGAGGAGAATGGTAGAACTATTTGAAGTAATAAAAGTAAGAAATCATACCGTAAAGTTTTTCGATTTATCGTTGTTGTATCAATATTATCCAAAAGAATTTTTCCTTCAGATAAATTCACTGTGCGAAATAATGTTGCCAACAAACTACTTTTACCAGAACCTAAAAAAAAAAAAATTTTTTGTTGATGACGTTCGCTAGGAAAAGATGCTCATTTTTCTTCGCACAACAAAACCTTATATTTATTGACCTTATAATTGAATTATACTTAATTGACGACTATGCCACTACGATTAATTACCTGTTCGTCCTACTATTCCAATTTTTTCATTTGCTCGAATGTGAAATGATAGCGTATCTAATGCTGGCCGTGCTTGATCTTGATTATATTTCATACTAACGTCAATATAATCAATTGATAAACCTCTTTCTTCTTCATTGTTTGTCACGTTCAACCATTCATCCGATGCCTATTTCCAAGAAGAGAGTATCATCTGACATATAAAAAAATTGTCTTACGTACAATTTGTAATTGTTTTGTTTGTTCTTTAGTTTCTTCTTCAGGTAAATCGTCAATGTATTGAGTAACTCGTTCAACACTAACCATTTCTTTTTCCGTTTCGGTAAATGATGTTACTAGTCCATTCAATAGACCAGTTACTGAGAGAATATAGGATAATGATAAACCAACAAGAGATGGATTCGAGTGAGAATAAATATGTTGAAATACACCAATGAGTGACACACCTGAAACAATGTACAATAGTTGATTTTTTTTTGCACCTTTTACGATATTGACACATACACACACTTACCGACAACCATAACAATTCCAATTAATTGTAAACGAAAATTAAGCCAGCTACTAGCAACAAGACTGGCAAACTGAGTACGAATACTATCACGAACTAAAGATATATTTTGTTCGACAAATCTGTAATAACAATAAAATCGATAATAAAAACGAAATTATTATATTCTATTATTTACCTTTTGACATGTCTAAATGCTCTAATTGTTGTTAAACCAGCTAATGTTTCACCAAAATTAGCATAAACTGGTGATAATGCTACGCTTGATATTCGTTTTATTTCACGTGATGTCCATCGATAATAGTTCTAAAACGAAATAAAACTTTATTTTTTTATCAAAAATTTCTATAAAATTATGTACTTGAATGAAATAATAGAATATTGCCAATGGTATAAGAACAAATAAGAATTCTGGTAGTCCATAACTTGATAAAACAAGTGTACCCAATAATGAAAATATATTCGCTAGAAGAATATTTAACATAAATGGCAATGAATCATCAACACACCATGTATCACTGGAAAAACGATTTAATATACGACCACTTGGTGTTACATCAAAAAATGAAATAGAACACTAGAAGAAAAAATGAAATAAGAATATAATTTATAAAATAAATAAATTTAAATCTGTACTTTTAATAAACTATTTAATAGCATTTTATGCATTTTTCTTGCTGCTTCAATTCCACCATAGGCAAATGTAAATGCTCGTATCAATGTAAATATGGAATTAACAATGGCCAAACAGACATATATAATAAAGAAATGTTTGAATTCTTTATCATCAGATTGTGTATGAAATCCAAAAAATGGACGAGCATCCAAAATTGTTACACTAAAAATAAAAAATTAAAAGTTAAATTAAAATTTTTAAATAATTATCGTATGAAAATTCATTTCAAGCAAAATTAGCAGTAGTAAAACATTTTATACTTCATAGAAAATATGCTATTAAAGATCTGGTAGTGAGAAATGAGTAGTTATCGATTACAAATAGTTTATATTCATTTTTAACAAATATTTAATCAATTTATTGCATTACATATGAAATACATACGCCATTGAAATGTACGTATTTTTCTGCATACGTAAACGAAACTGGTAAAATAGCAAATATACTCAGTTCAAATAATTTATCAAATTTTTAATCAAATTTATTTCATGTCCTAGATGTTAAATTGACAATGATAATAACAAAAAACTAAATGAAAAATTTTGACTAGGTCACCATCATGAACGAAAAATAAAAAATAAAGCACGAGTATTTCATTAAAGAAATGTCAATTATAGCATAATAATAAAGCTCAGCAAAAAAAATCAGAAATTTAAGAAAATTCAATATTTAATCAATTTTGGATTCCGATTTATTTACTTTGAGGAGCATTTCAAAATTCTTGCTGTTCTCTCTGCCGCGGCACAACGGATTTATTGTAATGACATTTTGATTTATTATCGGTTCCTTTTAGGCATGCACCAATACAATATATTGGGTCCCAATAATATTGGTCACCCAATCTATTGGAACCAATAATATTGGTCACACAATCTATTGGAACCAATAATATTGGTCACACAATC